GCCGGAGGCGGGAGCATCAAGCAGGAGCCCCGGGCGCCGGAATGCAGGGTGAGCGCCGCCGCCCTGGCTCGGGGGTGGCCGGGCAGGAGGACCCGGGCAGAGGAACCCCGGCGGGAGGACTCTGGGCGGGGAGGGGCTGCCCGCGGTCTGTCGGTCGCAGGCTCTGTTCGAGGGGCCGTGGGCACCGCTTAGGGCTGCGCATCCCCCCCAACTTGGGGACCTTCGGGGTAACTTCCCCGGGGCCGGCCCCTTCCTCCGTCCCCCCGCCTCCGGGCCTGGCAGCGCCGCCCCAGGGGGCTTGCTTGGAGGGGGCGGGGACGACCGGTCTGAGGGTTCCTGGTCACCCCTGCCCCGCATAATATGGGAGTCGTCCGAGGACTGCAGCCCAGCCAGTGTCCGGCTCCCCGGGCCGCCGCTCGGACGCGCCCTCGGGGCTAGGCAGGGATGGGGTCCCCGCTGGGGCAGGACCCGCAGGCAGGGACGCGCCGAATCGAGCAGTGGGATCGGAGCAGCGAGGAACGGGGACCGCGGGGGTGGGGGCGGGCGTGGCGGGCGGGGGGCGTGCCGGCGATGCGGAGGCTCGGTCCCGCGAACCCCGCCCTGCGCGGCGGCAGCGCGGGCGGAGAGCAGCCTGGGGGCGGCAGCCCGAGCCCAGCCCGGGGAATCCTTTCAAGTTCTGGGTTCTCTTTGTTGCGCAATAGAGCCCTGGGGCCACGCGGCCTCATTGGCCCGGGGCCGTGACGTCACGCCCCCCCCCCCCGCAGACCCTGCGGAGGGAGTCTTCTGGGCCGGGTGGATCCCAGGCCTGTCGCACCCGCAGCCTGCCCTGGGACCCTGGGATGTGCTGGGAGGAAGGGAGGGTCCCCGGGATCGGGGAGAGATGGGAAGCCCCATCCTGAAATGCTGCGGGAATGCTTTCGAGTGTGATGCAGGAGGAACTTCCCAGCAGGGGGCGGCGACACCCTGGGTGGTGGCCGCACTGGCCAGATCCCAGCCTTGGGGTCTGGCCCAGGTGTCCACTGCTCTCTGTGAAGAATGAACAGCAGGTGTGTGATCAGCGGGTCTCTGGTCACCAACCTGGAGGAAGGGGGACTCCCTGCAGAGTCAGCCCACTCTCACTCTGCATCACACCCACCCCAGTGACATTCCTTCCCCATCCCAGGACCACCACCCTCAGGAGTCCTGGGCCCCAAACCCAGCCCTCACACTTCCTTCCTGTGTTACCCTGGGCTCCAAGCCTCAGTGTTCCCATCTGTAGTGTGGGGACAGTAGCATCCATCCTGTAGGGATGGGAGGCTCAGAAAGACAGCCTCAGCTCAAGGAACAAAAAATGCCTTGTTCCTGCCCATTTTAGGGTTTGAGAGGCCAGGATTTTGATGTCAGGCAAGCGAGTCTGGATCCTGGCTCAGGCACATAAGTTTGGGCAAATGGTTTTGCCTCTATCTGCGTCTGCTTGACCATCTTTAAAATGCGGATGATGACAGTATCCCTCACACAGAATCACTAGGCCGCTATTTGGGAGCAGCATGCCTATTCGCAGGAGGATGCTTCCTCCCTCTGCCCACAGACTTAGAGCCTTTCCCTGCAGTGAGGCACTGTTAGGCTAGATGAGGGGAAGAACTGGCACACCATGAACGGGCGTGCCAGTGCCAGCCTGGGACACCTTTCCCACTACGCTGCACCAGTGATCAAAAGGTGGGCAGGGTGGGCTGGGCCCGGGCTGGGCCCAGGGTCACAAGTGTCAGACAATCTGCTTGGGTATCTGTGGGAAGACCTCCCAATCTGACTGCCGAGGCAGCCCGATGCAGGTGGCAATAGATGCTGGCCCACCAGGTGCATGCTGAATCCAGGTTCCTATTTGATAATATAAGCATCACTGGTGTCTGCAGCCTCTGGCCCACAGCAGCTGCTCTGGACCCCAGACAGGCTGCCAGGTACCCCGCAGGCCCAGGGGCAGCCCTGTAGCCTCTTCACCTCCAAAGCTGGGCTGTTCCAGGTTCTAGTTGGGGTGATTATGTGTCTGCCCACAGGTCTGAGGCTCACCTACACCTCCAAGCTCAGTGTCCTGGCCCTTAAAAGACAGCATAGCACAGGGAGCTGGGAGGGCTTTAGTGCAGACATCTGCGTGGCAAGCATTTATTGAGCACCTACTGTGTGCCTGGCTCCCTTCTAAGCATTTTTCCTAGCCTAGCTTATTGACTCCCCACAATGCTTTTTGAGGTAGGTACTATCATGTCCAGCTTACAGATGAGAAAACTGAGGCCCAGCTGAGTCCAGTAACTGGCGGGGAGCTGGAGTTGGAGTCTAGCAGCTCTTTACCCCAGCCTGTGAGGCCTCTGTATGCTGAGGTCAAGGAGGTTTACTGGGCACCGGAATGGCTGGTGAAGGGTCCAGCAGGGCCACCCCACCTCGCACGCTGGGTCTGGGGTGGAGAAGGGGATGCCGCTCTGCAAGCAGAAGCCGAATATTTGGGAAGGAATTTCTCTCGCCCCAGAAGTCTGGGGCTAGGCTAGGCTAGGATGCCCTTAATGGGCGCTGGTGTGGTTCAGAATGGACTCCTTCCCTGGGTCAGGAGTCTGGGCAGGCCCGCAGCAGGGTCACAAAGATACATGAGACACATCCTCAGGAGTCGCTCCGCGTCCAGGCAGGTCAGGCCACAGACAGACCAACAGAACTCCGACGAGACAAGCAGGGGTGCCTGGCAGCTGTCCGGACAGCGTTGCTTCCCCTGCCCTGAGCGCCAGGGGCCTGCAGTGGCCTGTTCCTCCCACATTGCAGCGAATGAGATTAAACGGGCTCTCAGATGAGAAGGGCCGAGTGTAGGTGGAGCACACTGTAGGCCTTCACTTAGCATTGTGCTTCTCCCCAAGCTGCCTGCCCCAGGCTGGGGCCAGAGGGACCTGTGGTGGGGGCCTCACCTCAGAAGGACCGGCCAGTTCTCCACACAGGGAGGTGGCTGAGGGCTGCCAGGCTGGGAAGGGGGAGCGAGGGCCTCACTGCCCGGCCCTCTGGCAGGATGGGGCACCTCCCTGACCCAGGCTTCCTGCCCAGCATCCCATGTCCACGGTCTGGTCCCTGGGGTGTCTCCAGGCCCATGCTGCCCAAAGCATCCAGAGCATAATACTGCTGGCCACCCATAGCACCCACTGTGTGCGAGACCTAGCCCAGGGCCTTAGAGACATAGTGTCTGTCCACCCCAGCCTCCTGCCTCAGGCCACACAGGTAGTATGCTGGAGCATAATTTGAACCGCAGCCTGTGGTAGTGCCAGGACCTGCCAGGCGTGCCCCCCCGTGGAAGACTGGCTGGAGGCTGACCTGGACCAAGCAGGCTGCCCTTTCCCAGAGTGGGCATGAAAGTGGTCGCCAGGTCACCGCTACCTCACAGAGGAGCTTTAGGGGGCTCCTCCTCCCAGGCACGTCTTCATTTGGCCAAATGAAGTGGGACAGATTAAGCTGAGGGCCCCCGACATGCATTGGGGAAGGCTGTGGGCTGTGCAAGGATTTGGAGACATTTGATGGTAAGAGGGCTTATTCTGGGACAGGGCATGCATGGGGCAAGAATGCCCATCTGGGCTCAACCTGGCTGGATTCCTGAGGATGCAGGTGACCTGGAAGGAAGCCCAAATTCCACATCTTGACCAGGAGTAGGTGGAAGTGAGGGAATGTGCACTTATTAGGCACCCCTGTATATGTCCCCTGGGTACCAGGGGCATGGACAGGAGGCCCCAGAGAGTGGAGAGGAAGCCAAAGCAGCCCAGCCCAAGCTAGGACCACACAGGTCCAGACAGTGCATTGGGGGACCCTCTCCATCTTCCCCTCTCAGGAGCCCTAGGAGCTTTAATGCTGTAGCCAGAGGGAGAGTCACTGAGTGCTCACTGGCTTCCCGCCCACTGCAGATGCTCATGGTCCCTGGTGTCCTCAAGCCTCATGTGAGAGCTGCTGCTCCGAGCTGAGGCCTGGCTCCCAGGAGGATGCCCCAGCCGCCAGCCAGCTCCCGTCTGCACCATGAGTGATGAGCGGCGGCTGCCTGGCAGTGCGGTGGGCTGGCTGGCATGTGGTGGCCTCTCCCTGTTGGCCAACGCCTGGGGCATCCTCAGCGTGGGTGCCAAGCAGAAGAAGTGGAAGCCGCTGGAGTTCCTGCTGTGCACGCTTGCGGCCACCCACATGCTCAACGTGGCAGTGCCCATTGCCACCTACGCCGTGGTGCAGCTGCGGCGGCAGCGCCCTGACTACGAGTGGAATGAGGGCCTCTGCAAGGTCTTCGTCTCCACCTTCTACACCCTCACCCTGGCCACCTGCTTCTCCGTCACCTCCCTCTCCTACCACCGCATGTGGATGGTGCGCTGGCCCGTCAACTACCGGTGAGCTCTCAGGCGTGTGCAGGTGTGCACTTGATATCTGGTGTTCTTAGAGAGGGGGACATGTGGGCAGGAAGACACACCTGGTGTACCTGTGTGCACAAATGGCGTTGGTGTGGTGACAGTGCCCCCAGTGGTGTGCCACACCTGTGTCGCTCAGGGGCCATGCACATGTAGGTGTGCGTGGGTGTACACAGTGTCCAGTACAGAAATGCCTGGCGAGAGGGATGTGCGACAATGTGCATGTGTGTCCCCTATGCCAGGGACAAGGCCCCGCCATGCTGGTTGTGCCATGACTATGATGCACTAGGGGCCCGGGGCGGCTGGGAATCCTCTGCAGGTCCCCAGGGGCCTGGAGAGACCCTGTGAGTGACGCTGGGCCCCTCTGTCTTGCCCCCACCCCATGCCAGGCTGAGCAACGCCAAGAAGCAGGCGGTGCACACGGTCATGGGCATCTGGACGGTGTCCTTCGTCCTGTCGGCCCTGCCTGCCGTCGGCTGGCACGACACGAGCGAGCGCTTCTACGCCCATGGCTGCCGCTTCATCGTGGCTGAGATTGGCCTGGGCTTCGGCGTCTGCTTCCTGCTGCTGGTGGGTGGCAGCGTGGCCATGGGTGTGGTCTGCACAGCCATCGCCCTCTTCCAGACGCTGGCTGTGCGGGTAGGGCGCCGGGCCGACCGCCACGCCTTCACTGTGCCCACCATCGTGGTGGAGGATGCACAGGGCAAGCGACGGTCCTCCATCGATGGCTCCGAGCCCACCAAAACCTCGCTGCAGATCACGGGCCTGGTGGCCACTATCGTCATCATCTACGACTGCCTCATGGGCTTCCCCGTGCTGGTGGGTGAGGCTGTCGGTGGTGGGAGCCTGTCGGGGGTCATGGGCACTGGGACAGCCCTGGGGCTAGGCACGCTCCGGGTATTAGGCGGCTGAATCCTCACACTCAGTCCTTTGAGAGGGCATTATCATCATGCCCATTTTACAGATTTGAAAACTGACGTTCAGAGAGGTAAAATGACCCACCTAAAGTCAGGGCAGCCTTGGTGGGATGTGAACCCACGTCAGGGGACTGCTGAGACCAAGGTCTTTCTGCCACATGGCAGGGGACTTTCTTCTCCTCACCTGCATGAGGCCCATTCAATGCAGGGGGTGTGGAAGGTGGGGTAACATGCCCACGGGCTTCCTGGTGGGTCCAGGTCCCAGGATGGACAGAGTGGGGCTCTGGTGTGGCCAAATTGGCTTTGGTCCTGAATGAGGAGGCGGGGCAGGCCTTGACTGTCTGCTGAGGAGTTGGACTTGATCCCAACGGCTGAGGAAGACTCTGCCAACAAGGGCCCAAGGTCCAGCGGCACTGCCTGGGGTCCTGCCTGTGAGGCTGGGCCCAGGCCTGGCCCGAGAATGAAGTCTGGACTCAGTAGCCAAGCCCTCCCACCCACCCACGGACCTCCAGCTCAGCCCCCCAGAGGGTCTAGAGTGAGACAGGGAGGGGGCTAGGGGCAAGGACCAGCCCAGAGGCTTCATCCGAGCAGCTGGGCAGGGCTGTGTCTCTGGAGTCATCGCAGGACACGAGCTCCAGAAGGTGGCGGCTGGGGTGGCAGCCTCAGAGTCGGGGCACATACTGCCCCACCCCCGGCAGGCCCCGTATCCCCCAGATACCGGGTCCCCCTGTGTGCAGTGGGGCCCAGCGTCTCCAGTCCCCGTGCCGATGGAGAGAAGGAGCATGTGTGAGACTGCAGAGCCAGACAGGACCAGCAGCGGGAGAAGTTTCTCTTCAGGGCAGGGCATGTGTGGAGCCCACTCCACACTGCAGGCCTGGGACAGGGTCTGGCATCTTTTTTTTTAATTTTTTTAAATTTATTTATTTATTTATTTAGTGTGTTTGTGTGTGTGTGTGAGGAAGATCAGCCCTGAGCTAACATCCATGCCAGTCCACCTCTTTTTGCTGAGGAAGACTAGCCCTGAGCTAACATCCTCGCCCATCCTCCTCCACTTTATATGGGACGCCGCCACAGCATGGCCTGACAAGCAGTGTGTCGGTATGCGCCCAGGATCCGAACCCGGGCCGCCAGCAGCCGAGCGCGCGCACTTAACCGCTACTCCACGGGGCCAGCCCCAGGTCTGGCATCTTGACCTCACCCTTTGGGGTATTCCTGGCTGGTTTCACAGATGAAGAAACCGTGCCCCAGAGAGATTTAGCACCTTTCTGAAGGTCACACAGCTCACACGGCAGAACCAACGCCGTGTCTGCATCATGCCCACTTGCGCTTTGATGGGGGGGGTAAAGGTCACTCTGGGGCGGAGCACGAACTCTCCTGGGAGAGGAGGAATGAGGGGTCCCTGGACAGCGACTCAAGGCCGCCTGGCTGGACCCTCTGATCCTCAGAAACTGCCCTCTGATTCTCCTCCTCTGGGGTCCAAGGCCTAGGCCGCAGAGTAGGGGCAGGGCCGAGGAGGCCACTGGCCGTGGAGTAGCGGGAATGGCACAAGGGTCCCTGAACTGGGAGACGTGAGACTTGGTTATCCAAGCCTTGGTTTCCTCTTCCAAAAAGGGGGTGGTAATCTATGCCACCACCTCTCTCCTTGGGCCCTCATGAGGGTGACATGAGGGAGGCAGGCCCAGCGCTGCTCAGTACGCTGGGAAGGGCTGTGCACACGTGGGGTTAGAACTGTTCACTTGGGCAGCTGGCAGCTCTTGGTGGGCGGGGACTTCTACCCTCACACTCTGGCTCTTTCCTGCCCAAGAGCCTGGAGCTCTCTCTCGCCTCCTCCTCCTCTGGCAGGTGGGCAGTCAGACCTGCCACATGGATGGGAGGACTGAGGCTGGGAGGGGAAGCTGGGTGAAGGGGGTCCTGCCCAGTGCCAGGCGAGCCCTGTGCCCACAGGTGGTGAGCTTCAGCAGCCTGCGGGCAGACACCTCGGCACCCTGGATGGTACTGTGTGTGCTGTGGTGCTCAGTGACCCAAGCCCTCCTGCTGCCCATATTCCTCTGGGCCTGCGACCGCTACCGCGCTGACCTCAAGGCCGTCTGGGAGAAGTGCGTGGCCCTCATGGCCAACGATGAGGACTCGGACGATGGTGAGGATGGCCTGAGGGTGGACCCCAAGAGAGTGGTGTCTAGGTGAGGTGACTGGGGTCAGCAGGGTAACAGCTGTCAGGTGACCACCCATGGCATTGAGGTGACCCCATTCTCAAATGCCAGACCCCTGTGTTACTCCCAAATGTGCTTAAGCCCCTGAGGGACCCGAGCCTGGTGTCCCACAAGGCTTTCTCCCATCCAGCGTGGCTGCCCCAGGTTATCAGATGTTCTGGTTAACGGAGTAGCTGTGGACCAGACTGAAGGTGTTCCAGCAAGCTTCCGGGACCACTCCTCAGCCTTAGGGTCCCCAGCAAACTGCCCTGGGGGCTTCTGTAGACCCAGGTCCTGTCTCCCCCCAGCAATAACAACGTTACCCTAGGCTGACCGCTTGCTGCATACCAGGCACCATCAGCCCCTCGTGTGCATTTAGTCTCCCTAAAGCTGCTGAGGCAACCTCAGGTCCCACCCCCAGAGAGGAGGAAACGCTCATAGCTGAAAGGTGGCAGAGTCGGGATTTGAACCCAGGACTCCGCCCTTCCGCTTTTCCACTTACCAGTCCCCTGCCCTGTGTGTGCCTGTGGGGGTCCCTGGGACTCACTCCTGGAGGCCCCAAGATTCCATGGCCCTAAGCTTCTGCCTCACCCTGCAGATACCAGCCTGGAGGGTCGCGTCCCCCCGGACCTGGTGCTGGAGCGCTCCCTTGACTACAGCTATGGGGGCGACTTTGTGGCCCTGGATAGGATGGCCAAGTATGAGCTCTCTGCCCTGGAGGGGGGCCTGCCCCAGTTGTACCCACTGCGGCCCTTGCAGGAGGACAAGATGCACTACCTGCAGGTAGGGACAGGGCAGGGCTGGGACACCGCATATGCGGCTGGGGGGGGGTACCCTGACCTCCCCAAGGCCTTGCCTCTCTGAGTCCATCGCTGGCCTGCGACAGCTCCAGAGGGTAGCTTTCCCCCTCCCAGGACGGGCTGACCCCAGGTCGCAGAGCATGTGCAGGTGAGCCCAGGCGGGGCACCCCAGTCCCTGTCCGCATGTTTCCTTTGCTATGGGAGAGTAGTCCACCTGGCACCTGTGTTATTTTCTTGGGGCTCAGCACCCCACTCAAGGGGCCTTCTCCCCAACCGACCCAAGCTACAGACGACCACACTGAGGCTTGGAGAAACTGTCGCCCCAAATCTCACAGCTCTGGGTGCCCTGGTCCCCGGCCCACAGGCCGCCCTGGCCGGTGCGGAGAGGCGGCGTCCCCATTTCCGAAGAGGGCAGCCTGGGGTAACTCCGTCGTCCCCACAGGTCCCGCCCACGAGACGCTTCTCGCACGACGACGCGGACGTGTGGGCCGCCGTCCCGCTGCCTGCCTTCCTGCCGCGCTGGGGCTCCGGCGAGGACCTGGCCGCCCTCGTGCTGCCCGCCGCGCCCG